AAGCTATGTTATTTTAAAATAAGGAAAGATGTGACTGTTTTGAATGGAAGCCAGTAAACACATTGCTTGCAACTTTAACTATTTAATATTAAGCAAAATTATACTTTAGACTTATGAAGATTAACACCAAGACTGTCTAACTGCCCAGGTTTATTAAAATATTTTGAAGGAAGTTTTATGAAAATCACTCAGCAAAATATTATTCAAAAACTTTTTTAGTCATGTCAAAAATGTGTGGTAGGACAAGTAATATTATGGCCCACTGTACAACTTTTAGCATAACGTATATGTATAAGACCCATGCAGTATAAAATAAGAAACAACTTAACTGTAAAAACTATCCAGTTATACTGTTATTTCTTTCTATCATGTATGTTAGCTTTAAGAGATCGTTTTGTATGTACATCCGTCTCGCTCACGGACAAGCGAGCAGGGGGAACAAGAATTATAAAGGGACTTTGGGACTTTTTGGCTTTCTAGAAAAAAAGTTGTGAAAATAAAGTAAACGACATAAAAGTCTAGAAGTGTGTTTTCATACAATTACATATGTATATTCCAGACATGGCAACAAAAGATTCAACTTTTATATTCAAAAATATCTTAATAAACTTTATTTATTTAGAAAATAAACCTCGAATGCTAGACCCCACTGTATCCAAATGTATACCCCACTAAATCGTGGTATTCTTACCGAAAATGTAGACCTTCGTTAGCAAATTGTTTTATATAGAATAATTCGAAATATTCGAGGCCGCAGTGAAATTAGCCAAATTAACACCTTGCTAAGTCTGGCCAGGCTTAACCCGGCAAATAATTGAAATATTTTTTGTTCTAATAAAAAGACCCAAGGCCGAGGAAGTTTTCCACGGGTATGAGATAAGCCAGAGTTGTGTGGCACATTTAAATGAAAACGCCAGCGGGTTAACGGGGGGAAACGTAGATGTGGGTGCATGTAAAAAAGTTGACCTTTTGTGCCTCCTTTTGTTCCCTCACTCAATTACGGCGGACACGCCGCGGGATTCAGGAGTAAGGATTCCCTGGACCCGACCAACTCGGCCAGAGCGGCAGCAGTCTATTTGGGCAAATACTTCGAGCCATTTAAACAATTTCCATTAACAAATATGCGCAAATTGCCCATCGGCGGTTTTACAAATAAATTGCACAGAAAAATATTTGTCAAAAAAGGAAATGTTTAATCTTTTTCAAACGAAATGCATGAAATATTTGTAAAAATTATTTTTATGCACTTCATTAAATATTTCAGCAATTTTTGTTAGCCTCGAGCTGGGGCACAGCCTGGCGCACTTTAATCAACCGTAAAATGTTGACCTTTTTTGTACTCAGGCCCGCAACATGTTGTCCAAATTTCTGGAGCACCAAAATGGAGGTCTCCTTTTTGGCTGTGGATGTGGGCGTGGTAGTGGTGTGGTGTGATGTGGTGTTGTGGGTCAGGGATTTTTGGGCTGAGCGTGTGGTGAGCCTAATGGACCGGCGACCCCGACGACTTGCACTAATAGTACGGGTTCCCAGAGATTGAGACAGTATTTGCCCAGCCAGCCAGCCCAGAATTTACATAATTTATGCCGCCTGAAGGAAGGAGTTTCGACCGGAGATGGATATAGAAAGCAGGCCATATCTCACTTTATGACATCCTCAAACATTGTCGTCTCCAACTGCTACACTTTCTCATAATTTCCACGTGACGAGGGCGAGTGACTTTGAGGTTTTATGACCGAATCATTTTAAATGAAAAACATTACAGTATGAGAAACACAGGGCATTGTCATCACTGAATAGAATATTTAACATTTATTTATGCGCATATAAATGCACTTGGATATATAGAGATCATATATATTCAATGGCCATTCGGTGGCACATGCATTATTTATGCATTTATCCGTGCCACAAAATTCATAAACATTTGTTGTGCAAATTTTCCTGGCATGTTTCTCACGCCCTTTTTCCCTGCCTTGGCCAGCCAGCCAGTCTTCACCCTTAACTCCACCCGCCCTTTTTGTGACCTTCTCATCTCTGGCGATTGCCAATAAATTCACATCAAAGGTCTTTATTTGTATTTGCTTAGCAGCGAGCCCCGAAAAGGATGCTCCCAGACTCATAGACTCAGAGACTCAGAGACTCACGGCCACACAGCCAGCGGCCGGGCCTGTGCAAATATCATTTTCGTTTCAATTGAGCATCTCGGCTTAGGGCATTACTCGTCCCAGAACCTTAGAGCGACACTCCCGTCATCGGCTAATCCTGCTGCTTCTGCTGCCTGGCAACTAGAAAATCATTTAGCAGCAGCCCACAAGGATGCCAATGCGAGCACATCCTCCGCGATGCGGCAGGCACGTGTCAATTGAACCAACCTGGAGGCCTGCTTACACAGAGAGAAACCATTACATACTTTTACTAGTTTTTAAAACCTATTAAGAAGTATTTAGTCAAGTTAACTGTACAGAAAATAAACCATGTAAAATTAGTTTCGTTTTCAAAGTTTGGTTCATAATTGGCTTCATATTTCTCCCAGTGTAGGGGTGACTAAATCCGTCGCTAAAACTGTCGAACGCCTTGCATTGCAATGAACTCAACACTTGAGCCGCCGGACTGACAAAGTAACTCTCGGCTTTAGCCGAATGACCGCCAATGGATTTTTAAATACCCAGCACACGCTCCTCAGGCTTCGGTGGGCGGGCTAAATTAAATGCTCTGCCGCCCTCGGCGGAATGATGCCCAAATAAATAACTCAATTGTTTTGTTGACATTTTATTTGACACGTGACTTTGACTGGTTAAACACACGACCTTCCCAGCCTCCTTTTATATATCTATATATATATATATATAGCCTGGTCGTGGGCTTAATGCTTTGTTCTTTTTGCGGTTCATGTGGTCGCCATCGTCGTCGTCGTCGCCAGCAATTAATCTGGAAGGTGTCCATTAAGGCAGGCACGCGTTCGCCGGCTGTGAAAACTGAACATACAGGTAGGCCAGTTGGGCGGTGGGCGTGTCCGGCGGGGTAATGCTGTGAATGGCCGTGTAATAGTGTCAATTTGGTATTTATGGCCTTTTGCCGGCTGCCTTATTCAGTGATTTGTATTCACTCCTTAAAGTGGAGGTTTCCTTGGGATATTTAGGAGGGAGGTTAGAAGGCAAGACTTTAAGGGTGGGCAAATAACATAAAGTAGGCTATAAGCTAAGGTTTTTAATGCCTTAATTAAGTAAGTATTTGAGGTAAAGAGAATCTTGAATGATTTCAATATCTAAACTTAAGAATTCTTTTATATTAATATACAACATATGAAACCAAATGATTAAGAAATATCCTATCGGAACGATTAGGAGTAGGAGTTCTCTGCCTCCCTTAGAAGTTTTCAAGTGAAATATGTAAATGGGTGCAGAGTTTCCGGCAGGACTAATGCAAATTTCCTCAAAATAACCGGCAGACGAACATTCGAGGCATTGAAAAAATTAGCATACATATGTGTGTGAATGTTTGGGTGTGTGTGTACTTGTATTGCCAGGCAGCGGAAACGGAAACGGAAGTGTGAGGCACTCACAACCGCATACAGGCAAACAAATACACACACACACACATACAAAACGCCAGAGAGGGAGGCCGAAAAATGTGCATGACTTGTTTAGTTTGAAAAAGTTTTTGGTCCGCCCGAGCCACCTATTTGCCAGGCCGCCCATCTTTCTTGTTTGTCTGCAAAGACCTTTGACTTTCTTTTAAAACAATTTGGCTTTGTATGGATGCGCGTGTGTGTGTGTGTGTTTATGCGAGTATGTGTGCGTTCGTGTGGTTGCTGACACAAAACCAAATTTTAAACAAAAGAAAGCTGAAAGCATTCGGCGCTGCTCATGAGACAAACCAACTTAGGCTGTTGGCTAACGGAAACCGCACTCACACACACACATACCTCGCCAACGCATACACTGCCAGACTGGCACACACACACAGATACGCATCCTTCTAGTGCTAAGTGACTCTTAAGCTTTGTTGTTCCTTTGAAGCGGCAGCCTGAACGGCACTGAAGTATATTGTTAACAGGATATATAATACACAAAATAAAGTTTTCAGCCAAAGTTACACAAAAGTATTTTACAAGTCCTCCTCCCTGCCACACTGCTCCTCTGCTTCCTTCTTCGTAAATCCTGATTCTGGTCCTGCGCCAGGACTTTCCAAAATGGAAACGTGCATCACCTTTCAGTCGTTTTGTGTGTGTTTGATTTTTGGTATTGTTTTACTTTTGTTGATTCTACGTCCTTGCCGCATAAGAGGGAAAAGTCGAAGTTGAATTAAATAAAAAGAATATCTGGCTGGTTTTTCTACTTTCGGGGAGAAGAAGCAGTTTTTGGGGAATTTCCAAATTGAACTAGGCAGGCTATCGGAAAATTTGAGTTTCCTCTGAGATTTGTTAGCTATTTGGCAGGGTAAAATATAAAAATATAATTGGGGGCTTAGTAAAGGTTTTTATGTTGAAGGGAAAGTGGTTAAAAAGATATTTTATTGAGAATCTCTTACAGAAATACCCATCCTAGCTGGAGATGTAATTACTGTTGATTATTCTACTGAAAGTAAGTAGCGCCTCCTTAAAAATCTAAAATGTTTATCACAATTTAAAACATTTTCTAAATCTAGCATATATTTTGCACTTTTTTAAGCTTCTCTCTCAAATAGTAACTTGTACATTTTTAGCCATTCCTACATTGGTAAAATGTTGGCCATAAACCACCGAATGGAGACAAATAGAGGGCTCCCAGTGGCCCCCATTTATCAGGACCCATTCACCTCCGCTTTCTAGGGGAATGAGAAATTTCAGGACTCGCAGGATGGGCAAAAAATAAACTGGCAACTGGCAACTGGCGACGAGCTGTCAGCTGGGTAAAAGCTTTACGAGTATTGAAGCATTCGTACGGGGCAAAAATAAATGTTTTCAAATGTTTGACGCGTACTGACAACAAATAAGCACATCCGAGTGTCCTCCCTCCTCACTACCCACTACCCACTGCCAATACTATTGCACAGCCAGACTCACACACACACACACTCTTTTTGGCCAGGATGGGGAGCCGAGAGTGTGTGAGTATGCGTGCGTTTAATGTCTGTAATTTACCGTTAAGTAGACAAGTATTAATGGTAGAATACCAACGGAATGCGTAGCAGAACGCAGCTCCACAAACATACAAAACAGGGCCATAAGAGTCACAGACAAGACGAGAGCAGTCAGCAGTCATGGAAGCCATGGAAAAGCAGCAGTGCACTGAGGGAAATTTTTGGGAAATTATTTTTATAAGTTTTTTTTCTTTTATTGCGAGAATCAAAGGGTTATGTCTTTAAACTCTCTGAATTCTGTCTTTTTCTTACCAAAATTAAACAATTTGCGGCCTTAATTTATTAACAAAAACTAAATATTTAATATATATATTAAAAAATAAACATTTTTAATATAGAAAACAAGAACTTAGTTAATTTCTTCAACATTTTCTCTGCGTGGCATTGGCTAAAAACAAAATGGCGACGAGGACGAGGACAACATTCGTTTGACTTGACGTTGAAGTTACATGTTAACTGTGGCAGTGCCACCCCCACAAGCACAACCACCCTCCACCCTCCACCCACACATACACACACACACAAGCACAAATAAGCAATTGTCATTGTGGCGCGCGCATGTTGCCTCCCCAGAAGAGATGTCAAAAAAAATGCGAAGAAAAAAAGTAAACTGAACCAAACAGCTAAGAAGAAAAAAAAAAAACGCCAAGAAATTCCAAAGAAAACTCAACTTTGGATTGTTGGCATTTTTGTTGTGTGCTTTGAATGCCAAAGGGGGTGGCAGTGGGTGGTATTGGGGGTTCTATTGGGAAATTTTCGGCGGCGTGGAAGGAGGCTGGAAAGGCAGAAATACTTGAGCGTTAAAATAGTAGATAAGGCGAATGACAAGAGAGAGCGACGACAAAACAAACGCGCCATTTTCCCTGACGTTTCGCAATTTGACATTTTACGTGATTTTGGACCGACTATGTGACTTGCCATTTGCCGAAAATTACAAACTGCCAAACTGCTGTTCCTACTGCGAGTGCTACTGCCACTGCTGCGCTTATGTAATTGAGTTCGAAAGCCGTTGAAGAAAAAAAGAAAAACCAAGAAATAAAGGAAAATCCCACCCACAATAACACACAAGACTACCCGCCCGGCCAAAGAAAAGCTGAAGAAAAGAAGCTGGAGCACATTTTTCACAATTCATTTCATTTAGCGGCGTTCGCTGCGAGGCAACATTATTACAAAAAATATTGCTCAAAATAGAAGAAAGCGGCAAAGGAAACGAAAAAATGGTAGCATAACTTAAGGCGCTTTCGCATGAACACACAAAAAAATGGAACGCTTTAAAAAAATGAAATAAGAAGAAAAAAAAAAACAACAAAAAAAACAATGGAGGAAAACGAACAAATGCTGCAGAATAATTTCGTTTTTTGTTTACATTTGCGCTCCATCTCCGAGAGCAGCTCCGGCAACATTTCAAAGTCCTCGTTGTCGTCATTCCCATCCTTATCCTTATCCTTATCCCTATCCTCATCCATATCCTTAGCAGTGGATGTGACTAGACTAAGATGGATTAAGCCCCCCAAGTAGAGCAGCCAGGCCATTATTCTCCAGAAGCTGAAAGCTCGAGAGTGGAGCCAAAGAACTAAACAATTTTTCTTGATTTCGCTTCGACTTTTTGCCTTCTGTTTTTTTTTTTCCTTTTTTCTCTCCTTTAGCCATAGCCATCCATTTTTGCCTCCAGTTACTGGCTTTGTTTGTGTCTTCGAGCATTAGAAAATAATATTTTATTCGCTTCACTTACAATTTTTCTTGTAGTGTTTGCGCTTGACTGCATATATTCCCTGGACGAGCATGAGGTCCTTCCTACCATTGGTGATGGGTGTTGCAGAGCGGAAACACGCCGCCATATTGTTGGAGTTGTTGATGTTGAAAAATGTTACATGCCAGAAATTGCTGGTTACCCACATGGAAATTACGTTGCATGTTTCATTGAGGAAGCCCAGTCACCATTTCCATTTCCCCTTCAACCAAAAGTGCAGCTGTTAGCTATTGGCTGGCACTTTTTACATGACTTCCGAGGCTTCCTTTGGCGTTTTAGCTAGTAATCGTCGATATCCAGCCAGACAACTAACATTTTTGGCCAAGATATGGCGCATCCTTGACATCCTTGTCAAATGATATGAACACAAAGGGCAAAGAAAAGCTATGACGACTTGAAATGATTTCAATTACGAGGTATAATAACCGTTTTGTTTTGGGTGAACTTAAACTTGGGTAAACTTAAAAGAAATACTGCAAATATGTTTTCTATTTTGTCGTCAAAAAAGTCAGTATTTTAACCAAATCAACCTTGAAAGTAATACCTCGTTGTACTAAAAACTATTTTGATAAACCTTTTCCTTTATTTTTTGTTCATATAATTCATCAAATTTACACTGTTTAAGCCTGTTCGTGCACCTGAGCGAGATTGAAAAGATTTCTACTAATCGGCATACCGGCGAAAGAATTCGCAGTTAGGGCAAACATTTCGATCACATGCAGCACTCATTTTGCAAATGATTTTGTTGGGCCGCATAGCTCGGTGGTTAGTTGGGAAACCTTTTTGCATTTAATTTTCCAACTATGCATTGAGGCAAAAATTCGCAATATGCGCGTAAATGCAGGGCTCACATGTACAGGCTCACGCACACACTTGCACACTCGCAACTCGTGGTGTAAGCCAACAAAAATCAATTTTATTTGAATTTAACAATTTAACCGTAAAACCACAGCAAGCATTTTAAACGCATTTTTAATAGACTCAAATATGTGTTGCATAAAACGCGGAGCCCTCAACCGGAAGGGGAGGTGGGGATCGCGGGGGCCGTGTAACCCATCGATACATCCGCCATTTTGTTTTGTTTGTTACAAAATTACGCGCATTTACAAAGCGGCGTTAAAATATCGTTTGTTTTGTTAGCATCAGAAGCTGTTTTTCCGCTTTTCTGATTTTCCGCTTCTCTACGCTCCCACACACGTTTTTCCCTTATTTTTCTGATGAAAAATTAGTTTTTACATGCACATACATACATAGATCTATGTGTTGTTGGGGGAGTTTGTGTGTGTGTGTGTGTGTTTGCACATTGTCTGCATACTTTCGGTGCTGGCACAAAGTCGCGTGCCTTTTTGTTTGCCAGCGTATACGCGAACAGCAAATATTTGTGCAATAAAAAGCACTCACCTACGCACGCCACTAAGCGGCTTCCATCAGCAGCTTAATAAGCGATTCGTCTGTGGTCCCCCCAGTGGAACTTGTCTACGTAGTGGTTAAACAGTCTATAAATAGTAGGAATACTTAGTATGTTTTGGATAAATAATCATTGTGTTGGGGTAAGTCCTTAGCACTAAACATATTTAATATTTAAGCATGGATTAACTTCGCAGAAAATATCTTTCAATTGGAATGAAAAGAGTTCTAGTATGCTCAGATGCTCAGAAGATTTATCTGAAACAATAAAATTGTTGTATTTCTTGTAGTAAAGTTAAACTTTATATTTGTAAACAATCTCTCCCACCACTTTACAGTTAACTGTATTAAGCTGGCTACATGGTCACCTTATTATCGATATAATTCCGATAACCAATGAACCGACGTTAAGCTAAGATAAGATCATTGATGGTTAAGCATTTTTCGATTGGATTTTCTTCCTTGAGAAGATACATGTTGAGTATTCCTATAACTGAAACGAATATTAAGATATTTGTATTTACATTTTGTGAACCCAAACTCAAAGGATGTTTATGAAAAGGGGGTGGCAGAGGTCGACCCCGACTCCAAACAATAGCATTGGCCACACATGTTGCTCGACCCGAAACCATAACGGCAACTGACCATGAAATGAAAGTGCATAAAATACTTCTATGGCGCTGTTTCTGCTGACAATTGCACGTTGTGCGGTCAAATAGAATGGAAAACAATAGGAAAAAAGTAAAGAAAAGAGAAAGAGAGGAGCAGCCCTCTTTTGGGTTTCTGTGTAGTCAGGACAACCTATGAAGCTCTCATGTTGGGGAAGAGATATCAAAAGCTGCCAGAGTTGTAACTATGGTTCAGTTCCCAACTGCCACGTGCAGTGCCACACCCACTGCTTGCTCTCGGGGAGGTGACGAAACTTGCCTTCTGCTTTGACAATTTCAACATAAATTTCGTCAATTTTTACTTGCGACAACTACGTTGGGGCGCTTCGGTAGAACATCTGCCGCCGTTTGCAGTTCAATGGAAACATATTGGCTGGCAGGAAGGGGGCAGACACTCTGCGTCACTCCCTATATAAATACTATATAGTCGGGGGCACGAGCAGCAGGGGAAGAGACCATGTCAGCACCACGGGATGCACGGGAGGCCATCGACGCTTTTAATTCCTGTCTAAGCCTGTTTCCTGTACAGGGTTTGTGCATATTAAAAGGAAAGATTGAAAAGATTTTTCAACTTCATTTTTTTAGAAATTTTATACTAAATATTATATTAGAGTAAAGACAATGAAATGTTTTTAATAATTTTAGCTTATGGGAAGTTATAAGTCGCTTCATTACCTAACCTTTAAGATGTCAAAATATAATAATTCTAATATATAAACTAAAAATATGTAAGTTAATATAAAAATATGCCTAATCCAAATTTCATTTAGATCACCCTGTTTTAGGCCCGTAACGAGTACACTTAATATGGAGCTCAAGTAGCGGCCAAGCAGGACAGCAGAGAACAGGACGAAAAGCAAAGCCGTTTGGCAGGCAGGACCATAGCAAAAGCTATGGCTACGGCAACGGCCATCGCAATCTAAGAAAATGCTACAAGCTTACACACTGACACTTTGACTGGCTGGCCCAGCCGGACTTCTGTGCCATTTCCATTTCCTACGTGCCAGCAGGTGTGTGGCGGCCCGTCCTTGGCTCCTGGCCCAGATAGCAAAAGGAGCAGTTGGCAGGACTAAGGGAGGTAGAATGAGATCGAGGACGAGGCCGGGTATAAGAGAGTCACGGCACTGGAACTGGCACTGGCACTGGCGTCACGTGGTCACAACATAAAAACGTGATGAAATTTCACAAAAATAAAAGCTCTCACCCATACGGTTCCTGGCCGACAAACGACTCCCGACCCCGAGTGACAACCAGAACGACCAAGAGTACAGGGAGAAATTAATTTTAGGATTTTTAGTATTACATG